CTCTCTCAGCCTTTCTTCATAGGAGAGGTGTTCCATCCCCCTGATCATTTTCGTGGCCCTCTTCTGGACCCGCTCCAACAGGTCCGTGTCTTTCTTATGCTGAGGGCTCCAGAGTTGGACGCAGCACTCCAGGTGGGGTCTCACCAGAGCAGAGTAGAGGGGCAGAATCCCCTCCCTCGACCTGCTGGCCACGCTTCTTTTGATGCAGCCCAGGATACGATTGGCCTTCTGGGCTGCGAGTGCACATATACCAGGCTTAAGATAAATCCTCATAAAACCCCTAAGTACACAGTATTTGAGTTTAGCTCTTGTTTCTGACTGGATGCTGTGTGCCTTTTATTCGGCAGTTCCTAATGACAGCTCAAACTGCCTTCCATCCAAAAGCAGTTAACAGCCTGCAAGAACAAGAGTCATGTGAAAGGGCTGTATCATTTGAAGAGTGGGCAGAGTTCTAGAACCAATTTTATATAAACAAAATATACATGCCACTAATTTTCAGCTGAGTTGCATCAGCAGGTGCAATGTATGTTAGCGTAAGTGTGCCAAGAAGGATGGCTAGTGATGGTTCACATTTAATAAAATTCAAAATAATATACCTGTAGCCTGGAACAGTATTGGCTTTTCTCCCCAGCCTCCAGTGCTTTCTATTTTGTATCTTATTTTTTTATACCCTACAATCTTCTATTCCAAAAGCATAATCAATAAATGGGACATGACACACCCTGGAGACAGACACATAAAGAACAGCCTCGAAGAAGTCATTAGAAAGTTCTGTTCTGGTGGAAAATATTGAATTTTACTTCAGTGGTGTTACACCAGGCATTAATTTAGCAGTGTGTTTAAAATGGCAGAAGGGGATAAATATGGGGATTATAAAACATTTGCATTTCTAAGAAGTTAATGAATCATGATTATCCTGGCTTTCTTACCTTACCTGTACCACATTTCTACAGCACATTTGCATTCAGACAGTATCAAGGAAAGCATTCTTTGGACTATGCAAACTTCAGAACTTGTGAGTACATTATTGCCCTATTTTGCCTTTTTAAGTAACTGATTGACTCTTGGGTATCACAGAGCAACCAGCCTTCCACAATACAGGAATGGCATCTAAATTTCAGCCCTTCAAAGTCTCATACAACCACTCTTCTCCATATTCCAGTAGCTTGAGAAAGATGTGAGGACTGCCTGAATTTTAACTCTTGCTGTGACTCTAATTGCACGCTGGGGCAAAGACAAATCACTAAACTTCTTTTTGTATCATTATCAACCCATTATAAACTTGATTTGCTATGTATACCTGACACTGCTTCATTAGTTGATGTTCACAAACCATATTGGCCAAATTTTTCAAATGTCACTATTTCCAGCATTATTAGGTACCTGGGTATCCCTACCACTTCCAACAGCTGATGCAAGCTCAGTGCCTTTAAAAATCAGGCTAATCTTTCCGGTTCCTTATCAAGTTTTGAACAACAAGCTACAGGTATTGACATTTTGATAGATTACTGATATAAATGCAAAGCATTTTTACTATGTCTACCTTGGTCTAAAAAGCATATGTATAACACCTAGGCAAAAGTTGTCCATTGCATCATAGCAAAACAGATCCATCCCAGTGCAGTGCAAAGCTATTCATAAAAGTACATTTTTAATGCTTTAGCCAGCATCATTCCAACTATAAAACATTAAAAAAGATTAAGTCAAATGCTACTGCCCTTGCAGTAAGACAGCCTTTTATGAGATAGAAACATTAAAATAGAATCATAGAATCACTGAGGTTGGAAAAGACCTCTAAAATCATCAAGTCCAACCGTCAACCCAACACCACCATGCCCGCTAAACCATGTCCCTAAGCACCTCATCTACACGTCTTTTAAATACTTCCAGGGATGGGGACTCAACCAATTCCCTGGGCAGCCTGTTCCAATGTTTAACCACTCTTGCAGTAAAGAAATTTTTCCTCACGTCCAATCTAAACCTCCCCTGGCGCAACTTGAGGCCATTTCCTCTCGTCCTATCGCTTGTTACTTGGGAGAAGAGACCGACACCCACCTCGCTACAACCTCCTTTCAGGTAGTTGTAGAGTGCGATAAGGTCTCCCCTCAGCCTCCTCTTCTCCAGACTAAACACGTGAAATACTTTCACTTGGCATTTTAAAATCAAATATTGCTTGTCACAGTTCTTTATCTTTCTGGTTGTTCTCATCAGCTGTCTGAAAGGTTTCTGCTTCCTCCCTTTAGAAATAGTCTATCAGTTTTTACGTAGTGTTATTTTAGTTTTCTGTGTTATATGTTTTTGTCAACAGGTATCTCAGTCATAAATGTATCATTAGTTTGAAACCTGGGGTACTCAGAGATTACACAAACTGAAATGGCTGTGAGTACTCATTTTCTCCCTGTCTGTAAAAGTACCATTCATCACTGGCAGTGCGTGTGTTTATGGCATTGATCTAAAAAGAAAGGAACAAGGCAGTAAAGCTATGTCTGCAAATGACATTCTGCACAAAAAATTTGGAATGACTACTGAAGCTTGCAACTCCTTATCACACAGGTTATGTTTCAATTTCTGGAGACAGTAACTAGGTCTAGTTATTTTGGATTTGCAGAGGAAGAGCTCCCTCATGATTTGCTCATCTCAGCCATTTTTATATTGCTTCTTTACAAGGATTGATGATGTAGTAAACTATTATTTCTTTCCATAATTCTAGATTATAACCCAACAGTGAAAATTTCACAGCAGTTATTTACTGGGCTAAAGTCTTTGGTTTTTTGGTAAGTATTGCTCTTGCACATTTTCGTATTGGTATTGTTCAATATCCGAGTAGCTTTCCTTTCTATCTTTTTGTTTTTCCTCCAAGTTGTTTTCTTTCTTTAAGACTTTCAAACATCATCTTCATGAAGCAATCACGCTTGTCAACTCCCCATACTTACCACATCTGGATCCAAATTTGGGTTTGGATTTCTCATAGGCGTCTTCATGCTATGACTATTTTTACTATGTTTCTGTTAAAACTAAAGCACATTCCCAAAGTTGTAAAGCTGTTCAGAATCGTATCTCTCTTCTCAGAACACCTACAGGAAACTCGCGATCTAAACTGGAAATTCTTGGATACAACCAGCAGACACCTAGCATCTCCTTTTAGAAAACTGAAACAGTATTTAGGTACTTGAACAATTTCCCAGGCAGATATCACTGTGATGACTGTAACAGAAAATTCCATATAAGGCAGAGCTTACAGTAAGCGGGAAGGAGACGTGAAGTCCTATAAGCATTTTCCATCACCCTCATCAAGCAAACCAGCAACTGAAAAGTATAATCTTGGTTTCTTGGAAAAGCTAGCCGCTGTTTTTAATAGCATCCAGGGAAACAAATTACTTAGTTTTGCTAGCAGAAAATTTTTTGCTACTAGTCCCTTGGCTCAGGGCAAAGAAGATTAAAAACCTTGTGTCTTTAATGATCCCTTGACTCAACTGTCTCAGCCAAGCTTGTGGTAGGCAGCTGCTGGCATCAGAGCTGGCACCAGTAGCCTTTAGACCAGGCTCCACAGAGTGAGCACTGATGCAACGGATGGGGCAGGAGCTGAAATACCTTTCCACTTTGCCAGCTCCCATGGGAAGGAGTCTGAGGAACGTCATAGCATGTGTGGAAAACGTACATTACCCGTACTGAGAATGTAAATTATTTAATGAACACTTTTTTGTCTGAGTTGTTCAGTTTAGCATATTTCTTGGCCATTCAATGTATCCATTGCTTATAAATAAAATACAGTAATAAGCTAGCACCAAAAAATAACTTTTGTGCTATGTTTTGCTACCAGTAACTTAAAAAATCTTTTTGCTTGTGTAGTTTCTGTAAAATCTAAATTTACCTTAAATTTCAAAGCAATGTAACTAAATCTAATCTTGGATTCTTCTCTCAAAAGTTTACATTTGCATATTTTTCTTACACTTACATATTGTGTTATGAAGTATGATAAAACATCTTGTTTTCTAAACATGTTTTAATTTATGAAGATCAATGATAAACAATTCACTTGAGACTCTTCCCATGATCTGTACTCAAATGCCTCTTACTAACTGGGTATAAATTAATTATGCAAAAAAAATCATTTGATAAATGAATATATCTTTTTCTGTGCAGATAAAAAATTCATCTTTTGTTTATTCTGTTAGACCAAGGCACTTTTAAAGGTGTGACATTCTAACAAAAAGTATAACCTTGCCAAAGTTGAACCTCATGGTGTTTCAAATGACTTGAACAATTTCCCAGGCAGATATCAGACTGTCTACAAAATACCACAGTCCTCTGCCAACATAAATCTTTAGAGCTTCTTGTTCTCATGGCTGTCCTGAGCTTAGCAAAATTCTATCTTTCACTTTAGTTTCCCCATGAAAATGAAATCAGTTATTGTGAATGCGTGTTTATCCTAAGTATAACTTAGGATATATAGATATACGTTATAATTAAATGTAAAATCTCCACCTAGTGGTCTCTATGGATTTTGGTACACAGATTACACATAAGAAACACCAATGTATTAGCCTATTATTGCTGAAATGGCTGTCGAGCTGGGCCATAAATAGAGACAAAATCACAACAAAGAAAAGGATATAATTTGCTTTGTTTGGTATGTACATTCATATTCAAAACTAGGTAATAAACTGGGACTAATTTTGTAAGAAATAAATAAATGAAGGTCAAAACAAAGAAGACTAGTCCAGAGCTTAAACTCCCTTCTGCAAAACTATTACACAAGTCATGAATAAAACCACTTTCCCTATTGTTATTCAGGGATTTTGAAGGCAATCATATTAAGGCCTTAATTAATACCGCCTTCCTGGAATGCAATGCGCTCACTGTATTGTAAGTAAAAGATGTATGAAAATAAAGCAACAAAAACCTTTTGAATATGTGTGACTCACAGTCCTCAACACAGGATTTGTCTCAATGTATAAAGCCTCATCAGGACAGCTGTGCTTTTGTCAAGGAGGTATTCTTTACAATTAATTGACTTATTGTATGTGCAGTCACACGGCACATTTTCGCAATTGTCACGATCACTTGTTTCAACAAACAGAATAAGAAATAGGCATACTGATTTTTTCTGCCTTGTGATCAGATCATGAGCACCAGGGTGCTTTTTAAACTCCACTACATCCTGGGACTTGCAATCTGATCATGAAGCAGAAACAATGTAGTATGCCTGTATCTCAACCTGCAGATATTTTTTCTTGTTGAATCCATTCCTCCTTCAGACTGGGTTTTCGCCTTGCAGGGAACCTGAGCAAAAAAAATGTGCTGCTGCTGCTAAAATTAAATATATTGGTGTACAGTAATAACTCACATTTCTAACTTTTTTATATTCAGCTATCTCTCATATAATACAGAGGACAGGAAAAGCAGAATCTGAAGGAGGACCATGTTCATGAATAAAAAATTCTACAGGTTAAGAAATATAAAAGGCTCCTTGGTGTTATACATGTGGTGTCTTACCAGTGAGGAACAGGAATTCCCTGCAGTGGGACTGTATTAATCGCAGTGAGAGCAAAAGCAAAAAAAGCTAAATTTGAACATGTAAAATTTCTGTCTGGATAGCAAATCCCAGAGCCTTTAATCAAATAAAATTCCATATTGCTCCTCTACTTTGTAAATTGCTTGGTTTTAATTAAAACTAAGGAAAGTTTTCCTTAACTAACTACTTAGTCTTGCGTAGGTTTCTTTTGCACTGACTACAATAATACACCTTGTTACGGCTTGGAAAAATTAACGTATGTAACTTCTAACACAACTAGAAAAATAAAAAGCCAAGTAGTCATACTGAAACATGAAATTAGCACTCCATATTAAATTGAATCACTAAGTACTTATTCTAATACATATTTTACTTTACAGGTTTCTTCACGGAAATCAAATTCACTTGCTGCCTGCAAATACCTTTTCCTCATTAAAAGATTTGGGGGAATTGTGAGCTTTCTAAAATCTATTTTTAAATTATAGAGTGTGAGCTATTACATGCCTGTAATCTGTGAGTGTACTGCACCTTTCCTGCCAAAGGTGAGGCAGGAGGCCATGCAGAATCAAAGGCAGAAGGACAGAAAGATAGCCAGCAAGAGGGAGCTGCGGGTAGTGCTTAGGGCAGCATCATGGGGAGGGAGGAAACTTATTCCAAGGCTTTCTGGGGTTTACAACAGAGATAGCTGTATGGGCTGAAAATCAAGGTTTCCCTCTGCTCCAGTGACCGCTGGGCTCCCTCCCTTCTGGGCATACGAGTGCCCAGCTTCACCTGGGTCCTCTGGAGCCGATACTACATTTTTCAGTTGCTTTGGCTCACACACTGAGGGTATCTATATTCCCTGTACAGTCTATAGAAAGATATCTAAGGCGGCATCTCTGTGCTTTGGAGGTGAACCAGCTCTCCCAGTAGCTGTCTGGGGAACTGAGGCACCTACTTTAAGATTTGAGACTGCCACTTCCCCCGGGGATAAGCGTGTATGCTTTAGGCTCATCTGCATATAAAGTAGTCACACTGCATCTGGGTTTTGGCTGCCTCATTATCTGGCATGAAATGTTTAGGCAGAAACATAAAACAGCTGCAGAAGCTGTAGAAGCGGAAAAGAGAAGGGAAAGCTTGAAGGAGAAGGGGAGCTGTCAGTGACTGGAGTGACATGAGTGATTGAAACAGGCTGCTACTGGCTGTGGAAGGAGAGTAGCAACTGATGTTATTTGTTAAAGACACTGATTTGCTGGCGTGGTGAAAACTCATTCACTAATACTGATCTTTGGCGTTGAATTTACTGTGGGATTTTTTTTGATGGTTTTTTTTCTTTGTTTTTCCATGTTCTACCTATATTAAATGTGAAAGCTTCACATCTATGTAATTAGGCTTTGATTCATCTCACCTCTCAGCAATGATTAAGTTCATAAATTATAGAGAGACCCTCAGGCAACCAGGTTTCCAAATTAGGTACCTCAGCTGAATTAGTTATGATGAATCAGAGCTAAAATGATCCATGTTTAGCAATCGCCAAACATCAGTGCCTGTACCGACTGGCTTCAAAGTGACTTATGGATAAAATCAGAGCAAGGAATTATTGGATGAACTGAAGTAATGATAAAAGACAATTTTGCTGCTATTAAAATTTTAAGTACGATAGCATGCTTCCTCACCTATAAAAAGAGAAAATCTGAGTCTCAGAGTTCTTAAAATTTGTATTGAAAGGAATGGGTGGAATACAAAGGATGAACCTGATTGCTTTTGTTCTCTATTTCTCCAAGGGATCTGTCCAGCAACATGATTACAAAATTACGACCTTATATTTTTATAGACCTGAAGTATTTACAAAAACTGGAAGATATAAATGAGAATTCCCAACTGAATTTAAAAATGCAATAATTTAGCTTGTCTTTTTCCTGAAATAAAATAAGGAACAGTTTATCTTTCTTTTAGCAATCTGTCTTTCAATCCACTTTCTCACCTCTCTGCGGATCGCTTTGAAAGTCTTCAGCAGCTTCAGTCACTGTTAGTAAAAGCTGAAATATTTTACTAACATAGTGTGCTAAATAATATCCTTTCTTTCCAGGAGAAATATTCATCAATTACAAAAGGTGTGTGAAGTATTGATTGCCATCCTATCAGATGCTGAATGTACTTCAAATTTCTATTCCTACAGGAGTGCTCAACATCCTAAGGTAGCAGGCCAAAATACACGAATGACAGCCATACAGTTTGCTCAGTTTTACTGCTATTCACAAATTATAAGCCTTGGAGCAACCAAAACACATACATTAAGAACAAATTACACAACAAGCACAGCTAGGGCACCTGGGCAGATAAGGACATAAATAAATGGTAACAAGTATTTTAGAACTTCTATAAACTCTCCTTTGGGAGAGTTGGGGTGGTTCATAAAATACTCACTCCATAGGGCTGATGATTCAGCCACATTTTTTTTTAATTAAGTATTTTACACAAAGCTCACATTCAGAAGTTTTCTTATTTCTTCTTTAATTTGCAAAGATTCACCCTCATCTGAAAGTACCTCTTATAATTTCATTGGATTCAGAGTTTAAAAGCAAGACTATAATTTCTTTTTTTAAAGTTGTCATTCAGTGCCGTATGGCTTATTCTTAAAAAGCTGTCCAAAAGAAGAACCAAATGTTATTTTTAAATTCATGTTATTTTTTTGTTAAGCAAAAGGAAAACATCCCAAATTAATCTGAATGATTAATCTGAACAGCTTTCCTGGAACTCATTGTTTGATATTTTTCTCCTCTGCCACACAGTGAATACTGTAAGTCAACACACAGGGTAATATTCAGTTCCTTTTTGTAGGCCCCTATATGCTAAGTGTCCAAGGGTAACCAAGGAGAGTCATTAAGTCTTAAGTCATGACAGCAAGAGCAAAATTTAGGAGATTGGTTCAGTTGCCCACAGGTCAGATATCTAGTGCTATTTGACATGCCTACAGCATCCCCACTCCAGAAAGTCTTTGGTCTCTCATGGGTCCTGTGTCATGTCTGCCTGCGCACACGGATGTCTCAGATACCGCAGGACATGCCAAATAATACTAGACGGAGTATTAGTCTGGAGAGCCATTCAGCAAACCAAAAGCTAGTCTAGGTTGAGATGAGCCGTTCTCCAGATCCCAGTGACTGTGTTCACCCTGGCTTATTAAGTTACCCACAGATAGGAGTCTGATGCTGTTGGAGATGCCCTTGGGTATCTATCCCACCTGGCCATCACCTGCTAATCCAGAAGGCCACAGGTCTCTTGTAGGTCTTGTGTCTTATCAGCCAGTTCCACACGGGCATCTCAAACGGGCATCTCCAGGGCACCTCAAATGTTTTTTGACAGATAACTGAGTCAATCATGTGGCAGGTGTGCCAGAATAACTTCCTGTAGATTCTTTTTAAAGTGCATTACAGCCCTTTGTTTCATTATTATGCACAGAATTAAATGCAGCAAATATCAATATTCTAGTCCATAAGCCACCACAGGGACAAGACAGTAATCATAAAACAGGACATTGTTTTGAAATATGGATGGAGACGTGCTCTGCTGCTATATAAACCTTGACCAGCGAGGAAAAGTGTAGTTATTTCAATCTGAGAGAACATTAACCGTGATAGATACGGTACTGCCAATGTAATAGTACCACCTGCCTGCCTGTCAAAATGATTGTCTGATCTACATTTCCAACTCAGAACATGTAGTACAGGAACTAACGTCACCTAACACGCCCCCCCCCCCCGAAATCTAACTGGGCTAGAATTAACCAGAACAAAGTGATCTCAGTAATCACTCATTTTTCCAGAAGCCTTGTTGACAGGATGACAGGTGTTTTATTTTATGGGATAGACAGTATATAATCCAAAAAAGAGTTTTTAAAGTTTAAAATCTTGTGGAAAAAAATGCCACTTGGCTTGGGCCCAGACAAGAGCCAAATCAAATCCTCAAATAAAATTTGAAATTCTTGTCAAAAAGAATCTCCCCTGTGTTTTCCTAGAAGTGAAACAAACAATACATCAGGTTCTCTAACCGCAGTGACAAGGGGGATAATTTCACAAGGTCTCTTCAGTGAGCTGGGAATAGCTGAGGCAGGAACACCTACTAGGTTCTTTGGAAATACAGGAATCCCTGATCCTGGATTAGGTATCAAAGGCATGTCTGCTCTTGGACCAAAGCTCTGGAGTTTACAACTTGGGATTTAGTCTTTTCCTTTAACGGACATGAGCATTCTCATGGTCTTACTGATACAGCCACAACGATAACACTGTTTGTGTTGGTCATAAGGCCTGGCTAGATGCTACACACACATTGTCACATCTGTCAAGAGTTTCCCTGCAGTTCTGTTTCTGGTACTCGTCACAAATGCAGAAGTCGTCACTCATCTCTTCTATTGGGGCTTTCAAATTCAGGCTTTCCTTTCCCATTTTACCAGATTAAGACGTTCTTTCTAAACCATATTTGGAATCCTTGAATGCAGTTTCTTACGGATATAAGTTATTCTTCTTTCATCATAGTCATTTCAAAGGGATGTGACAACCCAAGTGCCTTTTATCTAAGAAGGTCACCTGACTTGGTATTTTTGTTATTTTTCTTTTTGGTTCAATTGTGATGTTTCTCTTTTCTAAAACATGATATATATAATCTGTACTCTGCCTTGCCATTGCTGTGAACCAGTTTCAGGTTATGCCAGCTGCATCATATGAATAGAACAGTTTTTGTTTTTCATGAGCATCATTGACAAGATTTCAGTTCCTCTCACTCTTCTAACATTTCACGCACCTTTCCCTAAAATATCACCAGTGCAGATAATGTGTCAAATCCCTTGAAATGCTATTGCCCAACAGGAGAGGTGAGAATGATGCACTGCAGCCCAAGTATGTCACTACCTGCACTGACTGTCTACTGCAATGGACTCACTCGATATCGCAGGTTTCTGTTAGCGTTTTTGCCTCTGCCAGGTGGCTACAGTTGGCTTTGATTATGCCAGGAGTTTCTGCTCCTGCTCGGATCATAGCTAATGAAAAAGCTATTCCTGTGGCTTCTTTTCTTTTTCCATTATAGCCAAATGTGCAAAATAATGAAGTTCTGTGCCTGTTTCTGGCCTTATTGGGTTTGCCAATCCTCCAGCACATACTGACACTGAATTTGTAGACTGAAGGTCTATTGGGATGCTGCAGAATGAAGCTTTGCTTTCAGACACTTCAGGGAATGCTTACTGAATATATTCGGTATACAAAGTGTCCTTTCATGGCTCTATCACCATTAGGATTTTTATCAAGTTGAATGCTTTTAAGGCTCTCAGTGCCAGTACTGGTTTTGTTTGCATGCATGTAATATTATACAAACCTTTTCCTTTTACTGATGTTTAATATCACATTTCCCTGATGTATGGAGTGTATGTCCTGTCCAGACAGCAAGTCCCATTGAATCATGCCATGTCACAGACAGGGGAAGGGCTATATTTCTCCATTATTTGTTTTCAGGGTTCATTTTAATTGTTATTGGCATTTCCTCACGATCTATTTGGATAGTAACATGCACCCATTGTTGTCCTGTTCTTGTTTGTATTACAGCAGAACAGAAGCCAAAACATTGTATAACTTTTCTGCTTACAGGTGCCCCCGGTCGCCTGCCTCGTACCTCTACACCCTGTGCTTTCTTCTTGGCACGCTACGTGGGCAAAGCAGGTTGCCTCACGGCACTCCATATGAACATTTTTCAATGCTCTGCATCTCTCTTGCCTCATGTAAGGCAGTCTACATCTGTTGCAAACACACCACATCTGCCCTTAACTACACCCTTCTCCTTCGGTTCTGTGCTCCTCTGTCACTCTTGAGGTGGGAGGGAGGAACGTACCTGCACACTAATCATCCCTCTGTCTCATCACATGCATGTCATGACTGGTCCTCGTAGGTGTCTTTGGTCCCTAGGCTCCATTTATGCTAGTAAATATAACTGTCTGGCCTAACTAGCTCACAAGGGACAAAACAATGAGACAGTATGGATACACCCGCGTCTTGGCCCTCTTCATTTTACCAATGCAGATATAACCTGAATGTTTTAAATGGTCTGGTTATTCAAACTAATATTTTCTAATGTTAAATTTTCTGATATATTTTAGTCTATTTTTCTAAAGATTTCTTCTCTGTGAGGCAGCAGACAAAAAGAAACCTTGCAGGACAAGAGTCATTTAACCTAGCCCTGTCTGAGGAGATGCTTCTCTCCACTGACTCTAAAGGGAACTTAGCTCCAGTGAGGAGGTCTAATGTCAGCTGAAACAAAACCCAACCCAGATGCCTGAATCTACAAAATTAAAAAATAAAATAAAAAAAAAATAAATTGTCTTAGTGCTTTGGGTGGCTAATGGAGGAAGGCTCAGGTCCTTACCTGCAAACACACACTCTTCAGTAATTTGTACTTCTAGTTGTACAGACTATTGTTGAATCATTCACTGCTGCAGCTTCTGCCGCTGGGCAGCTAGTACCTATGGTTTGTGCAAACTCCAGAAATGTGACAAAATATTCAGCTTCCCTCAGCCAGACTGTCTGTATGTTTGTCTGTCCTTCCAAAGGGAGGTCTGTCTGCATTGTCTACAGCAGCTGCTTCCAGTAATTCAAACCCAAATGATCTTCAGTGTCCTTGTCTTTCCTCAGCTGGCTCACAGCTACCTCCCAGTACTTTGGATTTCTCATCAAAAGCTTGCAGGTCAATCTTACCTTGAACAACGGAGGGGAATTCTCGCTTCCCCAAGGAAAAGCTGAGACAATTATACATTTTGCCTTCTTGTCTTATTTCTTCCTCTCTTCTTCTGATTCTCATAGCAGAAGCTGTCTTTTATTTCTGCCTGTTCTGGGTTTATTAATGCTTTCAGTTCTGTGACTCCTTTGTTAGTCGGAAGGCCCTCTGGCCAAGGTTTATAATAATAAGATTTTAAATCACACTGCTGCGAGCAGCTGAGCTTAGCACCCAGGGAAAGAGACAAAAACCTGTGCAAGTCACTTCTTGTGCGTCCCTTAATGGATATTGCATCGATTGTCGAATGGCATAACTACAAAGGGAGTTCAGGCTACATGCACATCCCCACAACACAATCTTCCAGTAAAAAGCTCGATGTGATGAACAGTCGTAGGATCATTCCTACTGAATATAGTCAGGATTTTTCCATAACATAATTTCTTTAAGACCTATAATTTAAGAAAAGGCTTGTTTGTGTAATTCAAAATTTTATAACTACAGAAAGCCCTATTTTATATAATTTATATCATAACATGTACATTATTTTACAGAGACCTGGAAATGATTGAGATTCCAAATATAAACAGAATAATGTTTCAACATATGAGGAACCTCTCCCACATGTATGTATGCAAAATAAAAGCGATAATTAAGGGGGTGGGAGGTCCATATAAAAATGTCCAAAACCATGCCAGGGTGTCGCTTTTCCATATTACTTCAATCGGTAGCCCAATTTCTGCAAAAATAGACTAAATGTTTCACTATTTTAAACATAGGAAAGAAACAGGCTCCTCATTTAGTTCCCTCATTTCTAGATCATATCACATCACTTCTTTTTCTGCCCTTCACACTTCTTTTTCTGGCTCAAGTGGGATAAATAAAACTGCTTGCTTACTTGGGAGTTAGTGTAGCCTTAGGCTTAGCAGGCAGAAGTAGAATACCTCATTCACATGCACCAAAATTGGGAACTGAGTTAAGAAACAGAAAAGTGTTTAAATTTTGGACATGAGTAAAAGCCATATATGTTCATAGAGAAGATAGAATTTGTGCTATATAGCCATTTTACTTTGCTGTCATAAAGCATGCCTTTTCCCTTCGCCGTTTGTCACAGCTACGTGCCAGTAACACCAGGTGCCTCTGAACTACAATCCCTGAGCTGAGGCAAAGGGCTTTAGGAGCGTCACACTTTCACACTTAATGCCAGCCAGGATATATACTCAAATGTCTCTTGCCTCTCTAAATATTTAAAATGTCATTCTTGATGAAATATCTTCAGGCTTATTTTTTCCTTCTGATTTTGGTCTTTCAGTCTAGAATCACTCCTAAATATTTATATTTGGTTCTTCTATGCCATGAATGTAAGCAACTTCTTAACTGTGCAGTGTTCATTCTGAATTTCTAAAGAGCTCATATTATACTCTGTCCTCCACTTTTTACTACTTCTTGAAAAATAAAACTCAAATCAGCTACTGTCCACTTACCTAACAGCAGATGGTGGATACAATCAATTGGACCACATCAACATGCAAAATTTGATATACCATTGTTCATGTATTTCACAGCTATAATTATATCACATTAGAATTTTATTTGCACATCTCGCCTTCATGTTTTTATTTTTTTTATATACCAGAACATGATTTTAAATCTTGCAGAAGACAATGGAATGTAAGGATACATTTCAAAACAAACCTGTTCTTGCAGGCTTTTCTGTATTAGAGTTTTTATGTCCTGTCCCACAAGCCTTCTTTATGAGAGCACTGCCACTGAAGCAGAGAACTATTTATTTGAATAATGGTCAAGGAATTGAAACATTTAAGATGTGATAATGTTCATTACCAAATTTAAGTCCTTCCACAGACATTCCACAATCTGTTAAAGCAGGCAAAATCCTTCTGCCAAGGACAGTAAAGGACCTGCTTTTGAAGCACCTTAGCATAAAGAACATCCACCTGCACACTGGCAACAAACTAAGAATAGCAAGGCAAAGTCCTGACAAGGTTTGTGAAAACAAAAAATATACCAGCTCTGACCATTCCTCTCAAGTCATACGTGACCAAAGGGCAATGCCCTAATTGCATATTACAGCGACCTGAAGGAAATCACAGGTGATCGCGGCCACTATCACCAGCATTGTTACTGGGGACCAAAAGGATATGAGCTGCTACCAACCTCCTAAGTAAATCCTCCCTTGATTTAATACCTCTCACAACATGCCTCTTATATGCACTAGGAATTATTTTGTTAAAATTTCTTCTCTTCCAGCTCCTTGCACCTAATTGCATAATTGGTGCATAACTGTGACGTTGGCTTGTGTTTAACCAGCAGCATTACATGTTCATTTCTTTACTTTCAGCTACTTCAAAAAGTTTCATTTATTGCTTCTATGCACTCCACATGTGAATATGCACATCATTAACAGACAGGATTTCATCACCTGAAGATCTCTTAGCTAATAATGTTCTGCTAACAATTCCTGTAGGTCATAGCTTGTGTTACGTATTTTGGAAATTTTGTCATCAGAATGAGATCATTTATCAAAGCAGAAAACGAGACGCACACCATGTCTATCAAAATTTTGTAATTACGTATTAAAGGTATTCATAATACATTGATTTGATTAGTACATTAATAAAATTAATATATTAATATAGTATTGTATACTACATTATGACATTATATTATATATAATACATCATGTATGTTCCAATAATCTCAGTTTGCATTCTAGACACATACTAGTTCAAAACACTTAAAAATATTATGCATTATCTACTTTTGCACTATTTTCTGATATTCTAAATGAAAGTGAGTGTCAAAAAATAACCAAGGTCCTTCAATTCATTGACTTTAGGTAGTCAAGATGTGTAGAAAGAACCCATGAAACTTAAACATTTTACTTTATTAATTACTACTATTCATTCTGCATTAAAGATTATGGACAAGCTAGATAATGTTAGACTACTTGCTATTTGAATTTATTGTGTGATGTGTGAAATCATCATCATATCATCTGAAGTGGTCAGACAGTTGGACTAGATGATCATTGTAGGTCCCTTCCAACCGAAATATCCTCTCCTATCCTCTCCTCTCCTCTCCTCTCCTCTCCTCTCCTCTCCTCTCCTCTCCTCTCCTCTCCTCTCCTCTCCTCTCCTCTCCTCTCCTCTCCTCTCCTCTCCTCTCCTCTCTTCTCTCCTTTTTTGGCACAGGAACTAATAAGTGCTTCTGTTATTTTTGAATCGCGTATTTCAAAATGTGAGTACTTCCAAATGATCATACCATATCCTGTCCAGCAGTTGTTCCCAAATTAAGTATCCTCGAGCCAATAGAAATGTGGGACCAAATCCTACTTCCTTGCAAGCTTATGGTGCAATAGTCTGACACTGTTTTCGGGTGATTAATCCTTTAAAAACATGAGACTTATTATTACTTCCCCTCTCTTTGTTCAAGTTAGCCAAGCCTACAAACTCTGCTTTCTGACTGCATGTTAACTTCACACAGGAAAGATTTTATCTTGCATGACTTCAGACGCTTACAGTGCAGATGTCTATGAACTAGTCACTTTGCGCTCTCTTTATAGTCAATGAATTGTGCAATTTACCTAATTCTAAAAAAGACATCCAAACTAGGCCTAATGAATCATGTCCCCAAAGTACCTGTTGACTTCATTGACTGTAAAGACAGCCAAGGCACGACTGGCTCAGATCTTCAGCTTTGTAAATGGCTGAAGTCAGGTAAAATGAATTCACCTTGTTAATAGATACATATTGTGAATGTGTAAAATTAGAAGAGGTGAATCCCAGGCAAGATATCAGAGATCTTCTCTGTATTTATTACATAGTGCCATGTATATACTATATAGTGCCATAGACCTGCCAGGTCTCACACACTCTGCCTGAGATTCTTTCAGCTTGCTCCTGGCTGAAACTCCACCACTGCAGTATCCGTACCCCGAGCAGTGCCCAGACACTGCTGTAGCCTCTCCCCAGGGCTCGCTACCTGAGTGCCAAATATTGCAGTGGTTCAATATTCAGCTGTCTGCAAAAGTCACTGTGCCGGCCATGGCTAGGGAGCTTGACCCCGGATCATTGCATGCTCACAGGAGCCCCGTTTGGCAACACTTCCACTCTCATATCCTGACACCAGCTTCCACTCTCCCGTTTGCGACCAGGGGGCTCATAGCCCCATAGCACATGAATTCTGATGCCGCAAACACAGGGTTAAATTATTTTTGAATGCCAGACAGGATTTGGCTAAGCACATAAGTATACTCTATATAAAGCATTTAATTAATTGCTATTTTTCAGTAAACTTTAAATCTATTTCTTAAATAGGTGCTGATTGTCTAATGGGGGTGTATTTGTTCTTCATTGGAGTTTTTGATGTTAAATACTGTGGACAGTATAAAAAATATGCTGTGCTGTGGATGGAAAGTTTACCATGCCATATCATGGCGGTCATTGCCATGCTACCTACAGAGGTCTGAGTCCTCTTGTTGACATATCTGACCTTGTGTTGTGGTTTAACCTCAGTCGGCAACTGAGTACCACACAGCCGCTCGCTCACTCCT